CTTTTTTACTCCTCGAGGGTTTCTCAGAAGGGTTGGGATCTCCACTGGCATCTCCACTGACCCCACTCCAGCCCTCCCAGCTGCGCTTTCGGACAAGACGCCCCTGGGGCCAAGCTCTTTATCCACAAGCAGCGTTCTGTTGGCTGTTTCACTGTCCTAATGGCTCGTGTCCCTCCTCCTGCAGACCCTGACTGGGCCAGCCTGAACCTGGGAGCCCTCATCTGCATCGAATGCTCAGGTATCCACCGCAATCTCGGCACGCACCTGTCGCGGGTGCGCTCCCTGGACCTGGACGACTGGCCCATCGAGCTCATCAAGGTGATGTCGGCCATCGGCAACGAGCTGGCCAACAGTGTGTGGGAGGAGAACAGCCAAGGCCACATGAAGCCCTCCTCAGACTCCTCGAGGTGGGTTTGCTCGGCCCGGCTCGCCCTGGCACGCGGTGGGCAGGGAGGGTGGGGGGGGTGCTGCTGCTGTTTTTTAAACTCTCCCTCGCCATGTGCCTTGTGCAAATCCTGGGGTATATCTTCACTGTGTGCCCAGGAGGAGCAGGTGTCCGAGTGGGGGTGTCAGAAGTCAAGTGACCCCGTTACTTTTTCCCTCTTGTGGAGGTTTCCTCAGTAGCTCGGTGATGTTTTTGTTCAGTGACTGACCGACAAACCAGTGGGAGATGGAAACCTCCCGCCTGGTTCTTCCTCAGCCTGAGTTACCCTGTCCTGTGTCTCTTTGTCTCGCTCAGACACAAAGTTCCTGGCTCTTGAACCATCACTTTATGATTAATAATCTGCCTTCAGAAGTTCAAGCTCACTCAGGAATTTGTACCTGGCTGTCAGGTCTCTGGGTTCTCCTCACGGATGTTCAAAGTCCTGCTCACTATGGACTTGATTACTACTTTTTATGTGATATGTGTGAAACCATGAGCTGGTGGAGGGGTTGTTTCCTGTGAGAACAGCATTTTACCTACGTCCTGTAGCTCCACACAGTGAAAATCTATCTGTGATCCATTGTCCTACCAAAACCTAAAGGTTTTTGTGCTTAATTTATCTGCTCAGTGTCAAAGGAAGATGTTTTGGTAATGCTTTGGTGGTTTCAGTAGATTTGAGGTGGCTGGCTATAACATGCTGGCTCGGGGTTCAGGCAGGACAAAGACCTGCTGGGCCAGCCTGCACAGCTGGGCCAGGCTTTGCAGTTGGCTTCTGAAGGCTGTGACAGGGGTCTGAGCAGGAGCTCTGGGGGGCTCCATCCCAGGATGGAGGTTCAGCTCTCGGTGTTGCCTCCTGCACACGGGAGAGCTCGGCGGGAATTCTGTCTTGGCTTTGTCCACATGTATCCCAGGATCCTGCTTTTTCCAGGTGAAATGGCAGGTGAACCTGGGCCCCCTCCCATGGTGCAGGAGTAGGTTTGTACTGTTGTGTGTGATGAAGTCAACTGTTTCTTGTTGCCTTCTTTCGTTAGCCCTGAAAAATGAATTTGTGGTGCCACCTTTGGTTCATCTTCGAGAATGAAGCCACTACATTAATCAGGCTACTTAGATGAATCACTGCATATAGAAGTGCTCAGGGAGACCTAAGGAGAGGGTTTGTTCAGACATAAAGGGGATTCCTGCTGTAGGTGTGTGTTTTATTAGACAGGTAACATAATGATTTCATCGGGTACAGTGTAATCCAGAGTTCTCCTATTCTTGCATCTGACAAATACATGTTGCTCCTTACTGTTGAGAGGAGCTGGAGAGATGCCTCAGTTCTAAATACTTGCAAGGAAAAGGCTTACACTCAACTGGTATTTTATTAAGAAAAAAAGAAAGATTGCATTATTTTAGTAGTCATATAATAAACACCATGAAAAATCTAAAATCCGTGTGACTGTGATAAAAAGAGCACCATCCATTTGAATTAAGTAATTTATTTGGGATTGAGTTTTACTTATAGAAAATCAACTTTGTTCTCTTTGTATTTCATGCTCAGGGCTTATTTTAATTCTCCTGCTTTGTTTCTGTACATCTTCGTGGTTATAGTCAGCTGCTTCTGATTGTCACCGACACCATTGCACTTTCTTTCCTGCACTGTAACATTTTGGGACAAAAAGATTCATTTTATAAATAGGAATTTCCAGCTCTGTGTTCAAGTGCACAGTTGTGTGATGGAAGAGGTGCTAGAAAAAGCAGAATTAAGATGATGTGAAAATTTTCCCACAAAGCAATTGTAATCTTGCTTTGCTGCTTCCATCCTTCTGCTGTTTGCAGCAGGGACTGAAATGAGATTTTTCACATAAATACCACAAAGCTCTGCTTCTTCCAAGTGTGTGCCTCCTTTTGTGCTTTACTTTGGTCTCTGCCAGCATCACAATCCTTCTGTCTGAGCTGTGGCAAGAAAGTAAGTTCGAGTTGTTCAGGTAGAAGTTGCGTGTGCCATTTTCTCAGTGCTGTTTGGAGTTTGGCATGAGGAATCCCGTTGGAAGCAGCTAAAATGGACCTGAAAGGAGGGTTAAACAACCCCTCTTTTTTTGTTGTTGGGGATTGAAGGAGAGAGAGGCAACTGAAGCTGAGGGGCTGGGGGAAGAGGCAAGAAAGTAAGTGAGAAGAAATAATTTGGGGAGCTGAGATTTGGAGTTCCAGTGGAGAAGGGATAGAGGGAGACCAAGGATGTTTGGAGATTAGGGAAGACAGAAGCGTTTAGCAAAGCCCCTTCTGAAGGGGCAGAAAGCTGGGAGCTGGTGCTGGGGGGCTCCAAGAGAGCTGGGGAGGGACTTTGGACAAGGGCCTGGAGTGACAGGACACAGGGAATGGCTTCCCACTGCCAGAGGGCAGGGTTAGATGGGATATTGGGAAGAAATCCTTCCCTGTGAGGGTGGGGAGGCCCTGGCACAGGTTGCCCAGAGAAACTGTGGCTGCCTCTGCCCTGGGAGTGTCCCAGGCCAGGTTGGACGGGGCTTGGAGCAACCTGGGCTAGTGGAAGGTGTCCCTGCCCATGGCAGGGGTGGAATGAGATGAGGTCCCTTCCAACCCAAACCATTCTGGAATTCTGTAAGCAGATTTCCAGGTCGTTCAGTGCCTCCAGATCAAAAGCAACACCTTGGATGGCCTCGAGCATTGACCTGGGAGGTTTTGGGAGCACAGGTGTGGTGGGATTCCCAAGGAAACCGTGTGGGATAAAGCAGTAGGACGAGGCAGAGGTCGGGCTGAGGGTGTTGGTGTGATCCCAGGGAAGAAGGGGGAATAAGCAGCAGAAAAAGTCGGTGAGGCAGCAGAAAACCTAAGCACGTGTGGATCCTGAGTATGAAAGGGAACGGGGACCAGCTGGCCCTGAGCAGGGGTGTCCGTGGGTCCATGACTAGGTCAGCTTTGGAAAGCTGGTAATTGGTTCCAGCAATTACCAGAGCCCTGAGAGCCGCCGCTCAAACTTCGGGAGCCCTGTGACAAATTGGAGCTGACTGCTGGTGCAGGAGTATCGACTTCCCATTTCCAAACAGGGGCATCATTAGTCAAGAAAAGCATCTTTTAATTACTCACAGGAAGAAAAAAAGAGAAAGGGGAGAAAGAAAGGAAACAGATCTCTCAGTATGGATCGTGCAACAACCACCAGGTTTTTTTGTGAGTGTATTCAATATTAAATTTACTGTCTTGGCGGGGGGGAGCGGGCAGAGTTTGCCTGCAGTCCCTCCCTCGGTAACGCGGGTTTAATTTGGAGTGAGAAGTCAAATTAGAGTAAATCAATGTTGCGACAATTAACCGGGGCTGGGGATGAGCTCAGGACTCTCCTCTAATTGCTACTGATCCTGTTTGAGCGCACTCTGCCAGCGGTGCTCTGCAGTGGGGCGGCACACGAGCGTCCCGGTGGGGCAGCGCTGCTCGGGGAGCGTTGGAGAGGTGGGGAGGCCGAGCTGGGGACTCTGTGCCGTGTGTGACCTGGGCCTTCTGCACTGGTGTGTCAGTCTCCTACAGATATTTGCCTTCCTCCTGGACACACCTCACAGGTTTTGCTTTCTCCACGTTACTGTTCCTACCCACGTGGATTCTGTTTGCAGATTTGGTTGCCACCATCGACTTCCTGAGATGTTGTTGGCCTTTTCCAAAGGGGACAAGCTGCCACCATTCCCCTGCCCACTCCAGGATACAATTATCTGCTCCCTCTTCCTCTGAGCTCCCAAGGTCTCCATCTCTGTCTCACTGGGATGATGTGTCACCTCCACCAGCTGGGAGCTGCTGGGCAAGTGGAGGGAAGGCAGGGTCGTGTCCAGGCACCCTGCTTCTTGTTTTCCTACTCAAGTGATGCCAGATATCTGCATTAGCTACCCTAAAGGGCTAACCTTAAGTGCAAACCTTAAAAGGCTCCACCATTTTGGTATCTTTTTAAGGATATTCATAAATAGGACAAACACCCAATTCCATTTTAAGTGATGGGTGGCAGAAGCCCAGGCGTGGTTTTAAGCTCTGCTCTTTAGCTGGAGCATCTGCAGCAGTAGTGCTCGGGTTTGTTTGCACAGCAGTCTCCCTGTTTGTTCTGGGTACCAGAGGTGGTAAGAAAATCCAGTGCTGGCTGAGCAGTGTGGAGTTGGGAGCCAGCAGAGCCGGGAATTGCCTTTCCCCTTCCGCTGTGAGATCCAGTTTGATCCCTCGCTCGCTAATGAACTGAATTTAATGGTGTCGAGAAAACATTATGCAGCTCAGCTGTATTTAGCTGAGTTTTACAGTCCTGCACTAAAGCCTGGCTTGTTGTTCTGAGGCTGAGCTGCTTTCTGGGGTATAACTGATGAAAAATATTAGACCATGTCTTCTGTGAAAAAAATTGACCCATACTGTCTTTTTTCGTAAAAATAATTGATCCTTTATTATAGACAGTGCAAATAAAGGGGCAAGCCCTGGGAAACAGGGTACTTGGGATCCCAGAATCGTACCCTGGGTCTGGTAAGGATGCCTCATCTCTGGCTCCTTTTGGAGCTGCTGTCATGGTCCTGTTGGTCTTGGATTCCTGGCATAAGGCGGCAGCGTCACAAACGGGGCCTGGGGGAGCATCGGGACCTCTCTGTCCGCATTGTCAGCTCGGGTTTCTTGGCGGTTCTTGGCCTGATGAGGTCAGTGTTTTGTGCCTTTTCAATGCTCCTCCACGCTTGACACCTTTCCCGTTTCAGGGGTGGGGGAAGGGGGTTTTTAAAAATAAATTAAAAAAAAAAAAAAAAAAAAGGAAGATTTTATTGTGAAGGGCTGACCAGAACCCATCTGCAGTTGGGTGGCATCTGCTCCCCACATGTCACTTCCCTCATTAACAAGCAATTGAATTAATTAAATGCTACTCAGAACACGCATAACAAGCTACCGGCAGTGTCCAAATTAGCACTGATAATCAAGGATGATTTCCTTTATTATCCTGCTAAGTGGTGTGCAGGCTCTGATCTCCCTGTCTGCCCTCATCTATTTACATACCCCCAGCTTCTGCCTTTAGAAGCCGAGGTTATCTTACCTAGTTAATTTGCCACGATCACCAAGCATGGCGGATTGATATTCCTGCCTCTGCTGAAGCAAACCCCCTCCTTTCTCCCCCTTTTCCTTCCTCCCCAAGCCTGGTCCTTTGTATCTCAAGCTCACTGATAAATTAAAAGCCACCCCTGTGGTCTCTCAAGTGAGTAATAGAGGCAGAAATTTCATTTTGCAACTGGCTGATTTAATGATCCAAAGGGTAATTAATGGCCTGATTATCTTAATGTTAAATATGTCCGGCAGCAATTACTGTGACCTCCCGCTTGTCAAGGTCCAGGCTATGCTCTTCTTTCAATTAAGTTCTCTGGGGCTTAATGGTATGAATAAACTCCTCTGATTCTATCATTCCGGACTCTGAGATTTAAGCGAGCTGGGGGCTCGTTTGGAGTTTTAATCAGCCCGTCTTCTACTTGAGCGATCAGAGTTAACAATTATAACAAGGACAGTTTAACTTTCTTTCTTCCCCCCCTCCCCTTTCTACTTCTTTATTTTTTTTTTTTTTTATTTTTTTTTTTTTTTTGAGCGCTCGGAGGGGATTTTGTTGGCGGCAGCGGCAGCTTTGCTGGGCCAGTCTCTCCCTATATAAATTATCATGTGAATGCCGCTGTTTTTCCATTTGACAGGCTTAATTAATTGGCAGGAGCGCCCGAAAATGACAGTGCCACTAATTGCAACTCCAAGTGCATTTCTGTCATTGCAGCAGGCTTGTCAGGGGCAGGGCCCGCTCCTCGCCACGCCGGGGCTGTGGGGACCGTTCCCATTCCGGGTCTCACGTCTGGGCCGGGGACGTGATGGGATGTGATGGCCCAAGATGTGCCTGTGGGTTCTCCAGGCACACAGTTTGTGTGCAAGAGTGACATTTACTGCCAGCAGAGTTTAGACAGCTGGGCTTCTGCCGACCCAGCAGCTGCTCGGGGACTGAAGGTTTGACTTAAAGGTTTCACTTAAGGTATTTCAGCAAGTCCCGTGAACAGGGGAGGTTTTGGGAAGGAGTCAAGAAGAGGAATTAAAATAAAAATACACCAACAAAGCCCAAGAGTTGTAACTCGCTCCTGGTCTTTCTGGTGGCTGAACTCCACCGAGCAGCACAGCTCCCAGTGAGCTGGAGTTCTATTAGCTCTCTTTTGGACAGCAGATATTTCATAAAGGTAATGAGGAAAATGTATAAATTATTAGTTACGGTGGTATTGCGTTTTCAAACACGGGCATAAATAAAAAGACTGATTCATTGCTGCCAGTAAACTCAAAGCTCCCCCCTGTACAGCTGTAAAAGTGAACCAATTCTCACATGCTGCATCGTGGGCTTCCAGACTGGAGTCACTGCATTGCTTTGCAATCAAATTAAAAAGATAAGAATAAAATTTGTCACTTACCAGTAGCTTCCAGGAAATGCATCTAATAGGAATGACTAAGTGAGGCAAATGGAATGTCAGCTGGGGTGGCTGCTGGTCAGACTTCACCCTTTGGAGGCCTGGCAAGCTCAGATGCAGCACTCCAGAGATGCAGGTTAGTGCACTGTGTTTTACTGTCCTTGTAGCTGCCTGGCAGACCTTGTCATCCAGGAGCTGATCCGGGAAAGCACTGGTGCCTGTACAGGCATGGGAGATGCTGCCTGGATGATTAAAAATCAAAACAAAACAACCACAACAACACAAAACCCTCCACCCAGGTTGTCCAAGTTAATGAGCACTTTAGATAAAATGCTCCCTGGTTCAACTGCACGTTCCTTGTGTGCAAGTCTGCCTTTGATAAAAGCTCAAACACTTCTTAAACAGAAGCCTGGCTTGCAATAATTATTATAATCCTTATTTTCCTCATTGGTGGTGAAAGAGAAACCTGCAAAGGAAGTGTTTCTGTCTCCTTCAGCTGTGTATTAGAGCATTTGTGAAAAAGCAGAGGTGTAAAAACCACAATATTGTTGTTCTTTTCAATCTAAATGGCATCAGAACCACTTTATGAAATCCTTGGAAGTGTCCAAGGACAGGTTGGATGGGGCTTGGAGCAACCCAGGCTAGTGGAAGGTGTCCCTACCTGTGGCAGGGGGTAGAACAAGATGAGCTTTAGGGTCCTTCCAACCCAAACCATTCCATGATTCTCTCACGAGCAGTGGGCCAGAGGCAATGGCCAAGCTTTGGATACTGAAGCTGAATAGAAGGGAAGGGCCTTCAAGGAACTTTACTTTCAAACAAAAGGAAGAGAAAAGCAACAGTCCTTATTTTAGCAGGTTTTTGCCATTTTCATACAATTGCAGAGACATTTGGGGTTCTTCCCTGACATGTCATTCCCAGGAGTTGTGGAAATGACTGACCCCTTGTTTTCAAAGGTAGTTTTCAGTGTCAGTGGAAAAAAACAAGAAACCCCCTCTGGGCACACCCAGAAAACTCAAGGAAAGATGCCCTTGGGTGTGTTAACCTTCCAAACCAGAGCTGTTGGGGGACATCCTGCCTCTGGAGGTCTCTGCAGCAGGGCAGGTGATAGAGACTGAAATGCTTCACCTTGGAGGTACAGTCAGCTCCAGGTACCTTTATTCAGCTGAGATTCTTCACAACTCCTGGATGGTTTTGGCTGCCACGCTGAAGAGCACCAGGTTAAGCTGAAATGCCCTAAATAAGAAGTTGATGAGCTCGTTACACTTTGGAAAATATAGGGTTTGTGTTCAGGACTCGAGCAAGGAGGATTTCTTTGTGTTGTATGAACAGTGATGAGATAGGGAAAAGAGTATTCCTAAGTCAATAATCAGCTGTACAAAAAGTGATATTTTTTTGTTGTTTGCTAGAAAAAGAACCAGTCCAGTGGGTGAGTGCCTGTTGTGAAGGGCTCAAAACCTGTGTAGGATCTTGGCTCCAAACTTAATTTCTGGTTTAAATATGGCCTGATTATTTCTCTTTTTGTCTTAGTTCTCTCCCAGACACCTGGCAGAGCTAGGGAGCATCTCAGATTTGAAGATGAACGTCTTTTCACTGGACTTCACATCTGCTTGGCCAAAAGCTACTTGAAAAGGTCAACTCAGAACATACTAATAGAGAGAGAACCATCACAGTGTTTATTAGAAACTACTTGGGCCACTGTTTAACTGTGGCACTGCAACAGGAGCATGGAAGAGCAAAAAGATTCATTTCCAATGGGAAAAAAACTGGATATTTTATTTGTAAATTGGTGGGAGATGTGGCTCACATCAAGCTAATGACCAAAGGCCAGTACAGCTGCAAAGGAATCAGATGTCAGCTACCGTGGGTTAGTCTTGCCCCAGAAAAGTCCTTGATTTTTTTATAAGCATTTAGAAAGAAAACAGAAGTGAGATCAGAGACTAAAACAGGACATTTTGGAGAGGAGTACATCTCTGTTAACTAGGCTTTCTTGAACCCATTTTTTATCATTTACATGCTCAAATGTGTGCATGCACACATCTGCTACTCCACAGCACCTGAGGAATAGGTATGGAGAGTTTCCTCTTAAATATGGCAAGCTAAAAGCAACTGAAAAATGAAGTTTGCTGTCTAAAGGATTGGGCAGCCTTGCCAAGGTCCTCTTTGCCCTCACTCTCTTTCACAGTAACTATTTTATCAGTTATTTCCAAAAGGAAAAGCACTGAACACTTGTGTTGCTATTGAAATTCAGCTGTTTGTGAGGCTGAAACCTGTAATCATAAAAAGACCAAAATAAAACCACTGAGGAAAAAAATGCCAAAAGCATCAGCTGTTAGGGGATCCCCTGGGTCCGATCCAAAGGCTCATCCGTGAGTACCTTGGGAACTACTGTGAGTTGAGCACTTGCTGCTGCTGAGAAACTCAACAGAGCTGCTGACAGGGGAAACATCCAGGAGGAGAGGAAATATTCTGTTTTGTTAGATAGAAATCTTAGGTAAAATATTTTCTTTTCCTTTGGAGCTTTTCTGTGTAGTTGGTGTTTGACCTGTTCTTTGCATTCCTCCAGCCCTGAGGTCACATCTTCCTCTCTGTACATCAGCTCTCCCCAAACAGAAAGCAGTTTGACTAATCATAATTCAAATTGCTTTCTGTGTGTGGCATAAGTTGCTGCAAAGCCAGTTTATTCCTGGTTTGTGCTGCTGAGCCTTTGTCATATAAATTCTTTTTACTATTTCTACACAGGTTTTCTGGTGTTAAGAGATATATAAACTCCTTGTGGTTAAACATGAGGATAGGCTGTCAGTGGATAGGCTGAGGGGGAGGGAGGTGGTCCTCAGGTTCCTTTTCCCAGGTGGGGTGTTCCAGGAAGGTTGCATTCATGGGCAGCAGTCTTTTGGTAGTTGTCACTAGTGGCAGTGGTCAGCCTGTGCTGGTTTTGCCCCTCTCAGCCCTCGGGGGCTGTTTGAATGGCTCATGGGTTTGTTTCAGCTCCTGGGGAGGGAAGAGCGTGGCTAAAGCCACGGTGGGGATGCTGAGCAGTACTTTAGGAACAGGCAGTGCTCCTGGTGGCTTTGCTGGCCAGTGACACGAGGCACAGAAGCAGCAGCATCCCTTCGCTTTGGTCGGGCTACAGAACCCGCAGGGCTCCCTGACAGTAACTGTGACCAACTTTCTTTTGTGCTTTTTTCCCTTTTTTCCCCCCTTTGTTTAAGACTGAGCTTTGTTTCTGGCTCTGCAGGAAGCTGGTAGCCTATGGCAAGGGACTGGGGAGAGGAGACTTCAGTAAGATAACTAAATGAAAAGGGCAGCAGTGAAAAGATGGTGCTGGCTTTTGACTGGACTGAAACTTGAGATACACGAGCCCGAATGCAGGTTCCCCACAGCTCTCACATATCCTCAGTTCCTCAGAGATAATGCTCTTACTGCTGCATTTTTCCATGTCAGGGTGCTGGGGGGTGGGGGCACTGAAAGAGTGACCAGGAGAAATCAGACATTCAAATAATTAAATAGCAGGTTAAAATGTGTGGAGGTGAGCACAGGTGAGGGATGGGAGGCAGGAGTCAGAGGGAGATGAAATGTCTCCCCGTGCCTATTAACGAGGTCGTGCAGACAGGGCCGAGTCCTGTTGCTGAAGCATTTTTTGTGTGAGTCTGTGAGAGGCTGGGGAGCTGGAAGAGCCATCCCTTGGTAATTGGGGAGCCTCAAAAGGTGCAGATGGGACAGGCTTCAAAAAGCCTTCGTGCTGAACAGATGATTATGTCATGGCCTAGAAATCTTCCAGCTAACTTTGCTTTTCCTCCAGAAGATTTACATTTTCCTTGTTTCATCCGAGTCAGAATTTCTTAAGGGATGTTTTTACTGTATTTTCACTTCTCAACAGCACCAGCCAGGCTTGGGAAACTGAGGTGCACACACAATGAAATCACAGCCCCATCAATGCTTTTTAGACCCCTCTGCAGGTGGAAAGAACAGGATTGTGTCACTGTGTGCTAAAACTGAAGGATGTCTTATGAAAATGATATCCAGAAGCTGCCTTTTTTCCTTTCTCATCTCAAGAAGCCAAAATTTGCAGCCCTAATCCTTCACTAATGACGCATGTGTGTGCTCCTGTCTGAGCCCCTCCAGACCAGATCTGCTTTGGCCACTTGTGCAGCTCCCACAGCTCAGACCAGTCATAAACAGGTACCTGAGATTGCTTGGATTCACCTGTTCTATTCAGGCAAAGAGGAGGAAAAGAGAGAAAAGCAGCTACAGAAATTAACTGGCATTACTTGTTCGGACTTCCAGTCTAGGCGAAAAGTTAAAATATTATTATTTTAAATCATATTATTATTATTTAACGTAGTATTTAAAATAAATATGATTATTTTAAAATATTATTGCAGTTGCAGTTCTGAGTGGTAGAACTGCAGTTTTGGTTTCTTTGTGAAGCCCCTGGCCTGTGGCTCATCAGCCCCAGGATGGGTCCAGCAGAGTGGAGCTGGAACACGGGTGTGCTGGTGCCTCCACAAAATATATTTGGAGGCTGGATAAACTCAGCAGCCAAACGCAGAGTACCTATTTTGTGTGTTAAAAATCAGTCAGCAACATTTTGGGTCTTTTTTTAAGGACACAGTGTATTTTACAGGGGGTCTCAGGGTGTGTGGAGGAGCAGACAAGGCCTAGGGTTGTGCAGGATGTGTGATGGGAATGGCCCAAGTGAAATGAAAGTGTCCAGAAAGGAACTCTTCTGATAAAGTTTTGGGACTCCTGAAATTAATGTATGTCCAACTCTGATGTTTTAGCTGGTGTTTGTTGTCACATTTGCATTTTTGGGGTGTCAGACAGCTCGTTGGATATCAATGTATGTGTTAAGATGGGGAATAAGAGAGAGAGGAGAACAAGAGGTGTCATGGGGGATGTCACAGTAAGACAAGGAAAATACCCTCCACCCTCAAACATGATATTTTATAAGAGGGAAGTGCATGTGACATCCTGGGGGAGAGAGGTTTGGGCTGTATTTTTAACAGCCAAGAGGGACAGACCATTTCACTGCCATATTGGGACATACAGAAAACATATATTTACAAGCACAGAGTTTATCAAGCACATTTATCAAGAATCTATCAAGCATATGTATAATATCCTTGATAAATTCAA